GGAGGAGGACGATCAGCGGAGAGATGATGTGGTTGTGATGATGATGGTGGTGATGATGCTGATAAGTTTGCTTATGATGAAGACTGATGCTGATGCTGATGTTTGCTGAATGTAATGACTGATGATGATGAGGATGATGAGGAATGATGATGAGGAGAAGGAGGATCAGGTTGCGAGTGCGGGTGAGGAGGAGGACGATCAGCGGAGAGATGATGTGGTTGTGATGATGATGGTGGTGATGATGCTGATAAGTTTGCTTATGATGAAGACGATGATGATGATGTTGCTGATGATGATGATGCTGATGTTGATGGTGATGGTGATGGTGGTGATGATGATAATTTTGCTGAATGTAATGGTGACGATGATGATGATGATGATGATGATGATGATGATGATGATGTTGATGTTGATGATGATGACGATGATGATGATGATGATGATGATGATGATGATGATGATGATGATGATGATGATGATGATGATGATGATGATGATGGTGATGGTGATGATGATGATGATGATGAGAGTGATGGTGATGACAATGATGATGAAGATGATGATGATGCTGACGATGATGATGACGATGACGATGACGCTGACGACGACGAGGGGGAGGAGGAGGAGGAGGAGGAGGAGGAGGAGGAGGAGGAGGAGGAGGAAGAGGAGGAGGAGGAGGAGGAGGAGGAGGAGGAGGGTAAGGAGGAACGGAGGAGCAGGTGGAGGAGGAGGATAAGGAGGAATGGAGGAGGAGGAGGATAAGGATGAAAAGAGGAGCAGGAGGAGGAGGAGGAGGAGGGGGATCAGGAGGTGGGGGATCAGGAGGAATGATGATGATGGTTATGATGGTGGATGATGACAGATGAATGATGATGATGGTGTTGGTGATGATGATGATGATGATGATAATGATGATGATGATAATGATGCTGATGTTGATGCTGATGCTGATGACGATGATGATGATGCTGTTAATGATGATGATGATGATGATGATGATGATGATGATGATGATGATGATGATGATGATGATGATGATGATGATGATGATGATGATGATGATGATGATGATGATGATGATGATGATGATGATGATGATGATGATGATGATGATGATGATGATGATGATGATGATGATGATGATGATGATGATGATGATGATGATGATGATGATGATGATGATGGTGGTGGTGGTGGTGGTGGTGGTGGTGATGGTGGCGATGAAGATGATGGTGATGGTGGTGGTAATGATGGTGATGACGGTGATCATAATGATGGCAAGATAGTCGTGGTGATGATGCTGATGAAGATGATGCTGGTGAGGTTGATGGTTACCTTGGTGGAGTTGGTGATCATGCTGATGCTGATGCTGCTTCTGATTATGATAATGATGATTAAAAGGTGATGGTGGCGACGATTTCGATGATGATAACGACGAGGACGATGATGATGATGCAGATGATGATGATGATGATGATGATGATGATGATGATGATGATGATGATGATGATGATGATGATGATGATGATGCTGATGCTGATGATGACGATGATGCTGATGATGGTGATGGTGATGATGATAATGGTCATGATGTTGATGATGCTGGTGGTGGTGACGATGGTGATGACGATGATGACGGGGTATGATGAGGAGACGGGGGAAGAGGGAGAGGAGGATGTATGACGAGGAGAGGAGAGATGTTCAGGAGGAGAAGGGGGAGGAGGATTGTGCTGGCCAAGGACAGCGCCCGCTGCCCAGTACGCCCAGCCCATCACGCAGTACGCTGTGGCGCCGACCTCTCAGGGCATGTACGGGGTGCCGGCCACGGCGTCGGGGCCTCAGGGCAGAGTGATGCAGGCGGAAAGGGAGTTGTTCGCCTTGCTCATCTGCTCTCTCCTCCTCCAGCTCCTCCCCCCGCAGCCTCCGCCGCTGCTGCCACCGTGTGCTCCTCCTTCTTCTCCTCCGCCCGCTGTTTCCTCAATCCTCCTCGTCACCCTCCTCATCTTCCTCGTCCTCCTGGTCCACTTCCACTTTCCCCATGCAACCCTTCCTCCCTGCCTTCTTCCCCTTTTCCTTTCCCCCTATTCCTCCTCATCACCACCTCTCCCCCCTCACCGCGCGCGCTCCCGCGCGCGGGGGGAGGGGAGGGTGGGGGAGACGGGGGGAAGATGAGGAGCAGGAGGAGGAGCAGGAGGAGGAGGAGGAGGAGCGGCGGAAGAGGAGGAGGAGCAGGAGCAGGAGCAGAAGGAGCAGGAACGCAAGAGAGCGAGGACGAGGAGGCGGAGGAGGAGACGGGGAAGGAGGAGAAGGAGGAGGAGGAGGAGGAGAAGACCTAAGTAAACCCAGTACACATGGACGATGTTGCAATACGCCCTCCCAGTCCAAATCCCTTCCCCAACAGTCCCTGAAAGCCTTCCTTCTCGCTGACAGAAGCGCCCCCTTTAAGAGGCCGGCACCCTATGGTGAAGGAATACAACAAGGTATGATAATACCGCCGTTCAGCGACGTGCCCAGCGATATCCCCGTTTGGAACTTCTGCGCAACCATCTGTGTAACGTTTGCACAAGTTGGCACTTCTGGCCGTGAAAGCGAGAGCCCCACTTTGAAAAGAAGCCGCCATCCATCCGTGTATTTGTTACGTGTGCTGAAGCCTCGGGTCTTTCAGCCCAAAGTCCTGCGCGAGAGCCCCGTTTCGCCAAGAAGTCGTCCCCCACCAGAGAAGTATGGGTAAACATGGGGAATCGGGTGACTTGTGTCTATTTATTTGTGTGTCCCAGGGCCCCTTTCCTGAAAGCGACACGCCATCCATCCTTGCAACGGTTGGACGTCGCAGGCGAACCGGGGCCATGTTTTACGAGGACGTGGCAGGCGAACCGCCCAGCCCGCCCCTGTCGACCCCTCGGGTGCTCAGACGCGGGGGGGCTATTTGAAGGGGAGAGGACAGAGGACTACCTGGCCGTATGGTGATGATGATGATGATGATGATGATGATGATGATGATGATGATGATGATGATGATGATGATGATGATGATGCGAATGATGCTAATGAAGATGACGCTAATGATGGCGATGACGATGAATATGATGTTGGTGATTATGATAATAGTGGTATTGCGACGGTGATGATGTTGTTGATGGTGATGACGACGATGGCGATGATAATATTACGGTGATGCTGATGATGACGGTGATGTTAGTGATGTTGATGTTGATAACGATGATGACGACAATGATAATGATGAGGATGAGGAGGAGGCGGAGGCTGGTAGTGATGATCAGTGGTATGATGGCGATGTTGATTAGGATGCTGGTGATGATGATGAGAAGGAGGATAAGGATAAGAAGATAATGAGGAGAAAGAGAGTGGTGGTGCTGACGCTGAAGAGCGAGACGATGATACTGAGGAGGAGGACGAGGAGGAGGAGGAGGAGGAGGAGAAGGAGAAGGAGAAGGAGGAGGAGGAGGAGGCGGATTTGATGATTATCGTTGGAGAAGGAGGGGGAGGACGACTACTGGAGGATGAGGATGAGGAGAAGGGAGGGAATGAGGGATGTGAGAAGGGAAGAGGATGGGGGGATGATTGTTTGTCATCAGCAGCTGACAGCACAAACATCTGCAAGCAGGGGGGTGAGAGCCAGGAAGAAAGCAGAGTGGGTGATCCGCCGCCCCCAAAACAAGAGGGGGCCAACGCGTGGGCGGCACTATGCTGCACTCACCCTCACCGACTGGGTCAACTGCCCCAGCAGCTGGCGCCACAGCTGGGAGGAAGACCCTCCGTGCACCAGGGGGGGCCTTTGCAGGAGGAGCGGCCACCCCTAGCCCTGCAAAAACAACTTCGGCGAGAGGCTGGAGGCGCCGGTAGGCGTCCGACGAGGCCACAGACCCACCCCGTCGCTCCTCCCCCTCCAGCTGACAAATAACTACAGCAACGGCAGGGCTGTGCACCGGAGAATTCGCCGGCACAACGGGCCAAAGTCGTGCTACGCTCCGCCGGCCTGCGAGCCGTAGCCCCTAACCCAGGCCGGAGGAAGACACGCCTCTGATGGCCGCGCCCGGCCGCCTTCGCGGGCGGGCGCGCGCAAGGCGGCGGCGCTGCATCGGCAGGCCCCCCTCCAGCCCCGCGACAGGTCCTGCGGCAGGTCCCGCAGCTGGTGGAACGGGGGGGAACAGAAGGGCATGCCGTCCTGAGGCGTCTCAGGGCATGAGCGGCGGCCTTGAGACTGAGAGATGGCCTGGGCCCTCTTGGCAGCCCTCCGTACCGAGGGGGGGCACAGGGACCTCCTCGATCTTCCATGGGGGGAGGATGGGGGGAGAAGAGGAGAAGGACGAGGAGGACGAGGACAAGAAGGAGGAGGAGGAGGCGGAGGCGGCGGAGGAGGAGGAGGAGGAGGCGCAGGAGAAGGAGGAGGGAAGAGGAGGAGGAGGAGGAGGAGAAAAAAGGTAGGAGGAGGAAGGAGGAGGGAGGGGAGAGGAATGGAAGAGGGGAGAGCGGAGGAGGAGGGAGGCGGAGTGATAGGAGGAGGAGGAGGAGGAGGTGGAGGAGAGGAAGAGGAGGAGGTCGAGGAGGAGAAGGAGGAGGAAGAGGAGGAGGGAATAGGAGGAGGCGGAGGAGGAGGAAGAGGGAAGAGTGGAAGGGGCACCTCGGCGCCCCCATCTGGGGCCGCCCAGGGGCCGTCGGAGCGGCGGTGCCCCAAGGCTGCTTCGAGACCCTCGGAGAGCCGCCCTGGGCGAGAAGCTTTCAAGCCTCAGCATCGTTTCACCGACCCCATCCCC